TGCTGCTGCAGCCGCTGCGGTGTCTGCGTCTCCTCCGGCGTCCCTCAAAGGAGACAGCAGCAAAGTGTGGTCGACTGTCAGCAAAGAGCGTGCTGCTGGGGCTCTGCTGCACATCCGTAACCTGCTGCTGCTGCTGCTGCTGCTGCTGCTGCTGCTGGGCTGGGACCCCGAGTAATTCTTCTTCTTCGAGCTGTCTGTCTACTGCGGAGACAGAGCTAATTTGCTGCTGCAGTCCTTCGCTTGTTTGCTGCTCAATTACCCTACTTATAACACCATCAGAGGTAGCAACTAAACTTAAGGTGCTCCCTGGTGGGGGTCCCCCCTGTGGGGGCCCCCTAGGGGTCCCTACAGGGGCCCCCACAGACCCCTCTGAACCCCTATATGACCCTTGGGGGCCCCCAAATGACCCTTGGGGGCCCCCATACGAACCTTGGGGGCCCCCAGGTGATCCAGGGGGGCCCCCAAAGGACCCCTGGGGGCCCCCAAAGGACCCCTGGGGACCCCCTCGAAAGGACCCCCTGGAGGCCCCAGGTGATCCATGGGGGCCCCCCCCAAATGAACCCTGGGGGCCCCCACTAAAGGAGCCTCTGGAGCTCCTTATTGACCCTTGGGGGCCCCCAAAGGACCCCTGAGAGCCCCCCAGTGAACCGTGGGGGCCCCCAAAGGACCCTTGAGAGCCCCCCAGTGACCCTTGGGGGCCCCCCCCAAATGAACCCTGGGGGCCCCCCCCGAACGATCCCTGGGGGCCCCCCCGAATGGACCCTCTGGGGCCTCCAGGAGACCCATGGGGGCCCCTAAAGGACCCATGGGGGCCCGCAGGTGACCCTGGGGGGCCCCCCATGTACTCATGGGGGCCCCTTAGGGGTCCAGGGGGCCCCGGGGCCCCCAAGGGTTTAGGGGGGCCCCCAGAGGGGGTAACAGATACTCCTGCAGTTTCGATCTGCTCTGGGTTAAAGGTGAAGAGACGCGAACTGCTGCTGCTGCTGCTGCTGCTGCCGCCTCCGCCACCGTTGCTGCTGTTGTTTGGAGTGTCCCTGCTGCTGCTGCTGCGATGCCAAACGGGTGCTGAGGCTACCTGCCCTGCTGCAGCAAACGCTCCGGAGTCAAAGTCTGCTGCACCCTCACCAGCAGCAGCAGCAGCAGCAGGAGAGGTCCTTCGATTGTTATTCGGGGTGAAGATGTCTCTCAATCTCTCTTTGTCTGTTGCTGTTGTAGGGAATAGAGCAGCAGCAGTTGGCAATGCAAAGTAGTTGCTGCTGCCGCTTTGTGTGCTGCTGCGCATCCTAGAGCCTCCCCCCCTGCGCTGCAGCATTTGCTGCTGCTGCTGCTGCTGCTGCAGCTGGGCGCTACGGAGACGTAGCTGCTCCTGCTGCCGCTGCAGCTCCTCCAGCAGCTGCTGCTCCGGATATAGAGGCAGCTGCTGAGAAACAGAGGCCTCTAATCCATGCAGCACTTGGCTGTCGGGATAGGCTAGCTGCTGCTGCTGCTGCTGCTGTTGCTGCTGCTGCTGTTGCTGCTGTAGCTGCTGCTGCAAGTGTTGCTGCAGCTCCTGCTGCCTCAGCAGTTGCTGTTGCTGCAGCTGCTGCTGCTGTCTTTGCTGCTGCATCTGCTGCATTTGTTGCATTTGCTGCATTTGTTGCTGCTGCTGCTGCACTTGCTGCTGCTGCTGCTGCTGCTGGGTGTACGCGAGGTCTGTGAACGAGCTGCTTGGTTCTGCTGCTGCATCTGCTGCTGCAGCAGAAGAAGGCAGATACCCCTCCGATGCCCTTGGTGCAGAAGAAGCAGCAGAAAACTGTGGGGTTGGCGGCAGCAGCAGCAACTCAGCAGGGGATCTGTCTCCTGCTGCTGCAGTGTCTCTTTGCTGCGACGCCCAGGAGACTGGCTCTGAGGGCTGAGGATAGGCCCTGCTGCTGCTGCTGCTGCTGCTGAAATTATTATTATTGCTGCTGTTGAAGTTGTTGGGGTTAATTTGGCTGCTGCTGTTGTTGCTGCTGTAGTAATTGTTTCTGCTGCTGTTGCTGCGGAAGTGCTGCACATCTCGCCTCCACTCCCCCTGTCTCCCAGCAGCATATTGCTGCAGTGTCTCTTCAGCCTCTGCATCAGCAGCAGCAAATTGCTGCCGCATGCTGCTGCCTCTATAGCTGCTTACAAGCTGAGATTGCTCTCCTGTAGGAGACAGCTGCCTCCATGCCCCAGGCGACCCTCCCCTCTCGCTTCCTTGTCTTGCTGCTGCTGCTGCTGCTGCTGCTCCTGCTGCTGTTGTTGCTGTTACTGCTGCTGCTGCTCCTGCTGCTGCAGCATCTCTGTTTAGAAAGCTATTCCCCGAGCCAGCAGACGGAAGCAGCACCACCGGTTCCTCTTGCTGCTGCTGCTGCTGCTGCTGTGTCCCTGATGCCGACATCATTTGCTGCTGTTGCTGCTGCTGCTGCTGCTGCTGCTGCATGATATGAAAATCTATGAGCTCCTGGAATAGCTGGGCCCCGTGCAGCAGCACATCAGCAGCAGAATGAAGCTGCTGCGTCTCTCCTCTGACTATGATTTGGGCTTTTGCTGCAGCAAGGAAGTGCAGCATCTGCAGCGCCTTATACGCAGGCACAGCACCAGCCCCCATGCTGCTGCTGCTGCTGCTGCTGTTGCTGCTGCTGTTGCTGCTCGTAAACACCGCTACACTTGGGACCGTTGATTCCTCTCCAGTCGTCTCCTTCGATGCTGCTGCAAGCCTTTGGCCTGCTGTTGCTGCAGCAAATCTCTGCTGCTGCCTGCTGCTGCTGCTCCTTATGCTGCGATCAGCAGCAGCAAACTCTGCACCTCTTGAAGGATATAAGTAAGTTTGGGGGGGCCCCCGAGGTGAGCCTAAAGAAGAGTAAAACGAGGCATGCCGAAGCTCAGGACGCAGCAAGCGAACTCCCTGCTGCTGCTGCTGCTGCTGCTGCTGCTGCTGCTGCTGCTCCGTTTGCTGCAGTTGCTGCTCAGGGGTTGGAGTGGGAAGAAGACAGGTGCTGCAGTTGCTGCGTCTGTAGGTGATGACCCCGCTGCTGCTTGTGCTGCTGTTGTTGTTGCTGTTGCTGCTGCTGCTGCAGATGGTGTTGCTGCTGTTGCTGCTGTTGCTGCACCTCCTATACCCTTCTGCTGCTGCAGGAGACACTGCAGCAGCAAACTGCTGCTCGCAAGCTTGCACACTAGGGGGAGACAAGGGAACAGACGCAGCAAGAGCTGCTGCCATAGCGTCTGCAGGTTTGCTGCAGCAGGAAGCCCTCCTGCTGCTGCTCCTGCTGCTCCTGCTGCTCCTGCTGCTCCACCGCCCACTGCTACTACTACTACTACTACTATTACTGCTGCTGCTGCTGCTGCTGCTGCTGCTGCGATGTTGGCGAGGCGAGGACGCCTTGCTGCTGCAGTTGAGGGGTTTTGCTGCTGCTGGCAGCAAACCCTCCCTCGACTGATTCTGCTTGCTGCAGCGTTTCAACGCACTGGAGGTGCAGCACCTGCGGCAGCTGCTGCTGCTGCTGCTGCTACAGTTGCTGCTGCTGTTGCTGCTGCGGTAGCTGTTCCACCGCTTCTTGCTGCATCTGTTGCAGCTACGCCTGCCGTGTTTGCTGCAGCTGCTCTCACTGCAGCTGCTCTCACTGCAGCAGCAGCTGCTGCTGCGACAGCTGCTGCTGATGCTGCGACAGATGCTGTTGCTTCGGTAGCTGCTGCAGCAGCTGCTGCTGCTGCTGCAGCAGCAGCAATTGCTGCTTCTCCGCAAACAAATAGAAGGAGACTTCATGTGGACGCCCGTCGCCTGCCAAGTCAGTGGAGGGGGAGGGTGAAGTAGGCTAGCTGCAAGCTGCTGCTGCTGCTGCTGCTGCTGCTGCTGCTGGAGTGTGCGCTCCTCTGGGTGCAGCAAAGGGACAGCAAAAGATGTCTTTCGCTGTCTCTGTTGCTGATTGAGAGCTTGCTGCTGCTCCTTCCAGTGCTGCAGCAACTTGGTGTGCAGCAACCCCCGACTCGTTTGTGCTATAGATGGGGCAGCAGCAGGAACTTGAAGCAGCAGCACCTGCTGCTGCTGTTGCTGCTGCTGCTGCTGAGGGCTCCCCCCTGCTGGCTGCAGGATGAGTCGAGGAGATTGCGGCTGCATCACTGCAGCAGGAGCAGCAGCAGAAGCAGCAGGAACTGACGGAGCTGCAGCACCATCTGCCACTGTAAGAGGTATAACGATTTGATGCTGCTGCTGCTGCTGCTGCTGCTGTGGGGGTTCTTGCTGTTTGTGCTGCTGCAGCGTGTATGTAATTTGCTGCTGCGTGTCGTTGCTTTTTGTGGTGGCTGCAGTTGTTGCTGCTGCTGCTGCATCTGCTGTTGAATCTGCTGCTGCTGCATCTGCTGCTGTATCTGCTGCTGTTGCAGGGGCATCAGCAGCAAAAGCAGCAAATGTAGGAGGAGGAAAGAGAGCAGCAGCAGGCTGCAGCTGCTTTGCTGCTTGCTTCTCTTCTTTTGTATCTTTATATGATGCGCAACTACCCGATAAAACATTTAAACGCCGAAATGCACAAAGACACAGACAAACAGCAGCAACATGAGTGCAGCGAGAAGCAGCAAGTTGCTGCTGCAGCAAGCCTAGCAGCAAATGACGCAGCGTTGCCTGCAGCACAAACATAAATCAATACCTGCATGTACACCTCAAACAAATACAAAAATATATATAAACTTTACTGACACAACAAACCCCACAAGAAGAGACCTGACTATACACTCCAAAATAAACATAAATAAATAGCTGCATATACACCTCAAACCCTTATCAGCGAAGAAGGCCTTTTACTGAATAAGGTTTGCCGCAAGGCAGATCGAGGGTTTAGGGTTTAGGGTTTAGGGTTTCTTGTTTGTCTACTGTTGGTTGTTTATTGTCTACTGCTGATTATTTACTGCGTATAGTTTAATGCATATTATTTAGGGTTTAGGGTCTAGGGTTTAGGGTTTAGGGTTTAGGGTGTAGGGTTTGTGATGGGTTTTGCCTCGGCAGCAAATATAACAGCGAGCTGCAGCAGGAAGCCTATCCATGTTGCTGCTGCTGATTCTGCTGCTTTTAAATCTGCAGCATCATTATTATAACGAAAGAAAAAATAAAACAAACAGAAGGCCGACATGCAGCCCAGCAGCAAACTCAATCCAGGGTGTACTGCAGACAGCAGCAGCAGCAGCAGCAAACAAACAAATAAAATAATATTAAATAAAATAATTTAAGCAATTGTATATAGGTGCAAGTGCAGATAAAGATTATTACAGAGAAAGTAGAAAAAGGACAGAAATCAGTAAGCTACTGCTGCTGCTGCTGCTGCTGCTGCTGCTGCGGGTTTTTAAGTGCTGTGTTAAGGGATCAGTAGCCTCTTTGGGGGTATGTGTTGCATGCAGCAGCAGCAGCAGCAGGAAGGGCAGCAGAAGTAGGAGAAACAGCAGCAGCAACAGAACCACCAACTGCAAAGCGGCACCAGCAGAAGCAGCAGCAGAAGCAGCAGCAGCAGCAACTTCAACAGCAGCAGCACCAACAACAGCAATAGCAGCAGCACCATCAACAGCAGCAGCAGCATTAGCAGAAGCAGCACTATCAGCAGCAGCACCAGCAGTGGCAGCCCTAGCATCAACAGAAGCACTGGAATCAGCATCAACCTGTGCAGCAGCAGCATGTGCAGCAGCAGCAGCAGCAACAGCAGCAGCAGCAGCAGCAGCAGCAGCATTGTTTAGTGTTTCTTTTACGCGCTGCTTCCCAGGCTTTAAGGGAGCTAACGTTAGCCGGATTTTTATTATGTTTAGACTTCAGCAGCAAACTAAAAAGCTCTCCTATACCCCAAGGCAGCAGCAGCAAACAAAAAGAAAAGCAGCAAAAAGAGATCCAGCGGAAGCTGCTGCTGCTGCTGCTGCTGCTGCCAGCTGAACCACCAAAGGCTAAAACCAACACTAAATAAAACAAAGAAGCAAAAAATGCAGCAACCCTAAACACAGCAAAACAAACAACAGAAACAAACATCATTCATGCAGCAGCAGCAGCAGCAGCAGCAGCAGCAGCAGTAGAACCATCAGCAGCATGTGCATCAGCAGCAACAAGTGCAGCAGCAGCAACAGGTGCAGCAGCAGCAGCAGATCCGGCAGCAACGAAGAGTGCAGCATCATCTAAAACAAGAGCAATATGGTGCACATCAGAAGCAGCAGCAGCAGCAGCAGCCTCTGCCAAACCACCACCAGCATGTGCAGCAGCAGCGTGTGCAGCAGCAGCACTTGCAGCAGCAGCAGCAGCAGTATGTGCAGCAGCAGCAGCATGTGCAGTGGCCGGGAGCAGAAACAGGTTCAGCAGGAACAGCATGTGCAGCAGGAGCAGCAGCAGCAGCAGCAGCAGGTGCAGCAGCAACAGCAGCAGCAGCAGCAGCAGCAGCAGCAGCAGCAGCAGCAGCAGCAGCAGCAGCAGCAGCATGATGTACCAAATTGCTGCCATTGCCCACTTAATAACCTTAGACAGAATATCTTTGCTGCTTCTGTTTTTAATTGCTGCTGCTGCGCTGCCAGGGACAAGCCGACGCTCCAGCAGCTGCAGCAGCGCCTGGGGATCGGGGATCGGCTTGCGGCAGTCACACAACTCTTCTGCAGCAGCAGCAGCAGCAGCAACAGCAGCAGCAGCAGCAGCAACAGCAGCAGCAGCAACAGCATCAAAGAAATGCATGCATGGATATGGGGAGACATCGGTTATGCGGCAGACGCAGAAGGTGGACGAGGATCAGCAGCAGCAGCAGCAGCAACAACAGCAGCAGCAGCAGCAGCAGGAGCCACAGCAGCAACAGCATTAGTAGCAGGAATATATCAGCAACAGCACCAGCAGCAGCAGCAGCAGCTGACCGTCTTTAAGACTCCATGCAATCTCTCCTGCTGTCGGTGTTTGTCCTTGTCTCTTTGCTGTATTGCTTGCTGCTGCAGCAGCAGCAGCAACAGATTCTTGAAGCTGCAGCAGAGTTGCTGCATCTCGAGGCTGCCGACCAAATGTCACATGCAGCGTATCAGCAGCAGCAGCAGCAGCAGAAGGTTTAGAGGTGTTCAGAGAAGCAACAGCAGCACGGGCACCAGACAAAACGGAGTCTGCTGCAGCAAGAGCAGCATTTGTATAATCTGCGAGATAGCCCCGCTGTTCATTTGCTGCTTGCTGCTGCTGCAGCAAGCTAGCGTGCTGCACCTCCAGTTGCTGCTGCTGCAGGCGAGCAGCAGTTTCCAGGATATCCTTTAGTTGCTGCTGTTGCTGCTGCTGTTGCTGCTGCAGCTGCTGCTGCTGCTGTGAGACCAGCTGCTCCTGTCGATCAAGTTGCTGCTGCCGTATTTGTATGGCCGCGGTGTATTGCTGCTGCTGCAGCTGCTGCTGCTGCTGCGCCAACTGCTGCTGCTCCGTTAGCTGCTGCGATATTGCATACACCTGATCTGCAATGGTGTCCAGTGCAGCAGCAGCAGCAGCAGCAGCTCCGTCTTGTTTGCTGCTGCGCTGCAGAGACAGCTGCTGCCTCCCCCCTGCCGCCCCAATACTCCAATCCTCAACTTGGGGGTTCTGCTGCTGCTGCTGCTGCTGCTGCAGCTGGTAGTGTTGGTTGTCCTGTTGCTGCTGCTGCAGCAGCATCCGGTGCTGCTGCTCGGAGGCCTCTTCTTCTGCTGCCTGTATATACAGCTGCTGAGTAAAAGAAGACGGCTCCTCCACTTGCTGCGGCTGCTGCTGCTGCTGCGGGAGCCTGTCTCCAGCATATGAAGCAAAGTCTGCATCTGCTGCGTCTTCTGGCAGCAGCAGCAGCTGCTGCTGTTGCTGCTGCAGCAAAGCTAACTCCATTCTGCTGGCCTCCTCTTCCTTCATCACCTGCCGCAGTCTCTCCTGCAGCTCCTGCGCTCGCGTGGTCTGCTGCTGCTGCTGCTGCTGCTGCTGCCTGTACTGCAGCGGGGAAGCAGCCCGCGATGCGGCAATCTCTGCAAGTCGCTGCTGCTGCTGCTGCTGCTGCTGCTGCGCCCTTTGTTGAGCCCTTAATGTATGCTGAAGGAAGGGCCTTTGGTGCCTTTGCTGTAGCAGCTGCTGTTGCTGCTGCTGTTGCTGCAGCTGCTGCTGCAGCTGCTGCACTTGGCTTGGCAGCAGCTGCTGCTGATTCTGCAGCAACGTGCCTTCAATCAGGTGAGGCCGCGAGGAGCGCCTTGGGGGCCTGCCTATAGACTGTCTGAGTCTCTGCTGCTGCTGCTGCTGCTGCTGCTGCTGTAGAGGTGTTGCTGCTTGCAAGTCTGCTAGTGCTGCATGAACAAGGGCCTCTGCTTGCTCTGCTACTGCAGCAGCAGCTTCCGCATCTGCTGCTGCTGCTGCTGCTACCTGGCCTTGTGCTGCCAGAGCCGGTCCTCTCTCTGCTGCTGCTGCTGCTGCTGCTCTAGTAGCTTCTGCTGCTGCATTTGCTGCTACAGCAGCCTCCATTCCCGCTGCTGCTTCTGCAGCAATTGCAGCAGCACTCTGAGCAGCAGCAGCATCTTGCTGCGCCTGCAGTGCAGCGCGCTCCCCATCCTCCAGCTCTGCTGCAGCAGCAGCAGCAGCTGTTGCTGCTGCTGCTGCCGCTGCTGCTGCTGCTGCTGAATCATCTGCAGACCGCAGCGCTGCTGCTGAGCGGAGTGACGGCATCTCAGGCGAGGCCATCACGAGGCCTTGCTGCTGCTGTCCCTGCAGCTGCTGCTGCTGCAGCAAGAGTTGCTGCTGCAATTGTTGATGCTCTTGCTGCTGTTGAAGTTCTTGTTCCTGCTGCAGCAGCAACAGCTGCTGCTGCTGCTGCTGCTGCTGCTGCTGCTGTTCGTACATCAGCCGCTGCTCTTGCAGTCGCTGGAGTACGTGCTGATATTCGTCTTCGTGCTGCTGTTGTAGCTGCTGCTGCTGCAGCATTTGATGCTGCTGCTGCTGCTGAATCTGCTGCTGTTTCAAAGCAGCAGATGAGTGCTGCCTGGGAGGCGCTACAGCAGAATGTATCTGCTGCAGCAGCGGCGGGCGAGACTGCTGCTGCAGCAGCTGCTGCTGCTGAATGCCCCCAGCCCCTGCTGCTGCTGCTGCTGCTGCTGCTTCATGCAGCATGGGTGTTCCTATAGGGCTTGATAGAAAGGCCTGTGAGGTCTGCTGCAGAGACACAGGAGACGTTGGAGGAGCAACAGCAGCAGCAGCAGCAGGAGCAGCAGCAGCAGGAGCAGCAGCACGAGCAGCAGCAGCAGCAGGAAGCAGCCTTGGCGAAGCAGATACAGCCGAGAGAGGCCCATTAACAAACCCTCTGCTGAACGGGGGGAATACGGAGGGCTCCTGCTGCAGCTGCTGCTGCAGCATTTGCTGCTGCTGCTGCTGCAGCAGCATTTGCTGCTGCTGCAGTTGCTGCAGGCCCTGCAGCTCTGCTGCTTCTCTATCTGAAGCTGCGGCATCTATATCGCTGTCTCCCTGTAGATTAAAAACTTCAGGGGGGCTCCCTGCTGCTGCTGCTGCTCCTGTTGCTGCTGCTGTTGCTGTTGCTGTTGCTGTTGCTGCAGTTGCTGCTGCTGGCGCTGGGCTCGTTGCAGCACCGAGGCTCAGCAAAGGAGAAGTGCTGCTATAGTAGAACTCGCTGGGGTCCCTACTCATGAAGCTGCCTATCTGCTGCTGCTGCTGCGGCTGCTGCTGCTGCTGCAGCTGCTGCAGCTGCTGTTGCTGCTGTGTATGTGTTGCTGCTGCTGCTGAGGGCCTTGCTGCATCCCGATTGTCTTCAAAGCGCCGTGAGCCTCTTCTGCTGCTGCTGAAACCAGCAGGCAGCAGCAGCTGTCTTCGCTGTGTTGCTGCAGTGCTCATGCGCTGCTGTTGCTGCTGCTGCTGCTGCTGCAGCCAGGGGTCCTGGACGCTGAACCCTGAGGGGGCCCCCAAGGGCCCTAGGGGCCCCCCATTAGCTTCGGTTTGCTGCCCAGCAGCAGCAGCAGCAGCAGCAGCAGCAGCAGCAGTAGAGATACTCGCAGGAGAAGCAGA